TAGATTTGAAGAAGCGAAGGACATCGGCATGTTGTTAGAAATCTGTCCAACTGGCTCAAACTTCTGCTCGTTGTCAATATCGAATCGTTCATAAACGGCTCACATTTGTCGAGATGAGATTGTTATCTGTAATTGATAGAGGCAATGTTACTCCTTATCCTTTATACCAGTCATCCATGACTGGTGCGTGTCAGCAAGCGACAGGAAAGCAAGCAATTGTTAACCGCAACAATCGATACTATTTCTCACTTACGGACACGACGAGACTACAGGTTGTTATGTTATGCATGGATACTACATGGACGAGGAAAAGGAAATTTCAAGGAGATATAGAAGAAAACTCATTTCGAATCTCGGTATTATGTCGAAACTAAATGCTACGTCCGCCTCCCTCTTTCGTCAGCAGCTACAACTGAGGCGGTATTGACAACTGGTTGCATTCCGCTCATAGGAAATCAGTAACTTACGCAAATAATCAGTTACTCAAGGTAAATACTTCTTACGTTACGTTTCAAAGTCCTACCAGCAGCATGTTTCGAATGCTGAGGCAAGCATATTAAATAGGTGCAAGTGGCGTATGCCGCTATCCGAAATGATCATTGTGCATCTTGATCTAATTCTAAACACGCTACTTCACGATCATAGCCATATACTCCTTATCTGCTCGGGCAGTGTTAGGCTCCCTGAATTAAACGGGAGCCAGGATCATGCCTAGAGATGCTGGCGTCTTTCGTCCACATATCGCCACAACGGATATTTCCCTTGACGCCACCGTGAAGTGTCGCAAAACTCAAACCTGTAGAAAGATAATTCGTAAGTTATTTCGCCAAACAAATGGAAATTCTTATATACGAAAGGTCGCAGCGTCGGAGACCTGAGGAATCTTCCCAGAGCGTCAGAAGGGGCTCGCTGCCGGACCCGCCATTTGGCCCTACTCATCCGTCTGTTAGCATCTGTTTTATTATCGTACGAGAAAAAGCTGATTTTTTCAGGTACGCATTTTGCTTTGAGTAGCTCACTGGCCATAGGTGTTTGTTTATAGAAAGCAATCTGCTAGATAGATATATTGGGCTGCTGGAGGGAGTAGCGCCAAAGATAGACTATTTCAAAATAACTTCTAGACGTTCGTCTATTTTGTAGGATGAGACAGCTTCACGCGCAACCCGATTTCCGAATCCTATATATGCCCCTTTTTTCTTATTCACATATACAATTTTTGTTTACTTTACAATAGTGTACATAGTGTCCTGTGTAGAATAAATTATTAAAAAAAATTAGCAAAAATTATAAAATCGTACTCTACGAATACGAAAAGAGCAGGAGGCACTTGAGGCTAATAGCCACTGAAAAATTCAATAGGGTTATAATTGACGAAGTGATGGAAACGGATACTTTTTATATCCATGACCCTTGATTTGGCGTCAACTCCTTGTAAAAGATCTGTTGCTGTTGACGCTGGAGAAGGAAGCGGGAAACATTTGGGTTTCCCCCAAATTTTTACCAAACGGCTTGTTCTTTCGTGTTGTTCCTCCATTTAATTCGATGTATCTGCGATACAAAGATATTGTATAAGGATAAATTCATCGATTCTCGTAAAATTTCATGTCTGAATAACACAAGTCGTATTTGCATACAGAGATAAAAATAAATGATTGCCACATCATGTCTGGACAAAGCGAAGAAAAATCGTGAAATATAAGTCCGGCTTTATTTCATCAAGTGGTAAATAGACCAGATAAAGGGAGCAGTTTCAGATTCTCGACAACTTCTCAAGACAAAAATAGGACAAGTATGTTACGATTCAAATGTCAAAAGGCTACTGATAATTGATTGAAAGCAAAAAAAAAAAAAAAAAAAATAAACAATTGTGCTTGTGAGAGGAGTTCGAAAATTTCTAGTATACTTTCTAACAGTGCAGACTGAACAACTAGCCCGGTAACGAGAAATATATATCTTTTGCATCGCTGGGTAAGTTGGGTAAGACTTGCACGGGCTTTTCAAGTCCAAGTCCGGTCTTATCTACTTATATGTATATATCACACGTCCATGCGTTTAGTTCGAATTCAGATACGATATTTGTCTTTCGTCGTTACGTAACAATATTTAGCAACTCAGAGCAAATAACACTCTGTCTAGTCTCATTGAGCGAATGTCCTAGATACTACGTTTCACAATAACTCCAGCATCAATCCAGTGAGTGTACCATTATCGTTATGATGGTACACGAGAAGGATAAAGAATTACCTGGAGCCTAATTGCCCTCCTTGGAGCATGAGAGTACTTGACACCGGGCATCAGTTCTTGCGCCGACAGTTATATCTTGCGGTCAGAAGCCGAGACCAACCATTTAGCTCAATAAGCGAATTTATCGTACGCCCATTGAGTCCTACCTAGCAATTTTTTTCGGGACCGCCGAACCTTAATCATTGTTAATAATTTCGCATATTTTGTAGGCTAAATGAGCTACAGCGAAAAGGTTGCCATGCAATACTTTATTTCATAACAATTCATCAAAGACATCAGGAAATTACTGCAAAGCCCTGAGGGGAAAAAAATGTACGTTTGAAGAAGCAGACATTATTGTTGACTATTAAATGCTCTGATTTTTCACAAATATTAATAGTATGCAAATAAACGCCATTGTTCTGTCAAAAAGTATTAAAGGTTAGAAAAAGAAAACTGTTTTCTTTACAAGTGTGTACACGTCACGCAATAAGCGCGGTGGCCTAATGCGGAAACCACAATAATCTACGTGCTAAAATAACTGTGAGTGACATGACTAGATCGCTATTTGAGGCTAACGAAGCGCAGATACCATGTTGGCCTTTAAGAGAAAACAAGACAGCTCTCAATACCTATTTTATTTATCAACATATTCTCGTCTGCACAGGAGCTGACACCTACAGAACCCATGACGAAAAAATCTATCACAAAAAATTCGATATACAACGCATTGTGTATGCACTCTCTAATGATGGTGTCAATCATAAATGAGTTTTGAAGCCCAAATGATGATAGTCTACAAAGGCTAGTAAATCTAAAAAAGAAGGTAGCCTATACATGCCAGGCAACGGGTGCATGACTTCGAAACGAAGTCATGCATCTTTTTCATGTACAGCCACAACTACACCCTATTCGATGTCAGTGACGCATGATCTACAAACTTATTTAAACCAATGTCAAGTCTCAGAAATCGAAAAGTACATAGTCTTCTAAAGATATTATAAAATCTTCACAAACTAATGAAGCCGTTAAACTTCATTTGGACCGACTTCTAGTTTTAAGATGTGCTGACATAAATAAAACCGTTAGCGACTCTACCTGTTCGCCTTCAACTAAAGCCCATACAATATATTTTTAGCAAGCTAGTCCTCTTATGTAGCAGCAATCCATCGAGCAGAATAATTTCGCTAACGCAGCATCGGCCTTAGCGGAAAACGAGGGATTGCTCAGTGAAGAGTTGACCGCAATCAACCAGCAAGTTAGGAAGCTCTGTCTGCTGTCGAACAGGGGCACACAAGTGTGTCTGCAGGGGCAAACCGTAGTTGTCCTCAGTGCGTTCTGTTTACTAGTCAATACTGTACAACGGTTCAACCGTTCAGCAACAGACCATGTTACTACAATTATCTGCGGTCCAAGTACATTTTTCCCCGAACACGCAATTTTAATGATTCACCTGTGCATCAAGGGCTAGCCGTACTCAAAATACTTATTTTATTTTTATTTAGCAAACGCTGATTTTGATTTAGAAAGTTATCATATGAAGTGCAATTTAACCCTAGAGAGTTCGAACCATTGGGATAATAGCAGAATGTGATCGTGTAAATAATCTTAGACTCAATGTAAAGAAGCTAAAATTTGCCCCAGGCCCATTTGCCTTCAGCTGTCACTGAACAAGCTTGAAGTAGATTACCAGCATCGAAAACCAAAAAAAAAATTATTGGTGAAAATTGAACATCTCGTCACTCTTGAAATACACATATGATTAACAGCAGTACATTTTTACCCCTTTTTTATTTATTTATTTATTTTTATTTTTAGTATCCTTTATTGTTTACTGCCGGCACTCACAGGTAGAATTCTGTACGTTTAGACCGTACTGTAAGAACCGTGAATAGTGTTAAGTAATTCATACACGCGCTAGTGCTTAACTCCTTCGACCGGAGGCAAAAGATGAGCAAGCATTTTGAACACGTTCGACATCGTAACTTCTAAACAGCCACCCAAATAAACAATCTGTCAGTGTTTACTGGATCCAAAATTTTTATCCTGTGTTATCCTGTTATACATTTCATTGTGAAGTCGACGGCGCTCCGAATTCAGAAGCGGCGTTTCTCCGGTAGAGGCCACGCAGATAGCTCATCATGCGCCCTGCGGGCTCCCGCCCATGGCGTAAAAGTTATTTTTCGCCGCGGTTTATCGGTCTATGCAGATTCTATAAATTAAAATCAATGTTTGCAGTTGGTCGAGATGAAGAGCTTGAATTACATATAGGGAGAATCTTGTTCCAACGCAAGTGAAAACTTTACGAGCACCGTTTGGCTAATGTGAATCGTAGGCTTGTTTCTGTTCTAAATGGATCAGCCAATGCTAGTGGAGGACATTTATCCTATGAGGTATTATCTGGTCTGGACCGCAAGTTTTCTTTTATCGCTTGCATGAGCTTTTCAAATGGCATTAACTAGAAACATCCTACCTACTCTTTAGCAATCCTTGTATATGCCTAAAGGGCAAAATTTCCGACACCTGTTGAACACGCAGTTAGTTCCTTTCTCGCTCAGAGCAATACGAAGACGTAACGTCTATGTAGCCCATTAGAACTTCACTCGCACCCATTTCCGTATATAAATAATATAAATATAGTGATAACAATAATATATAATAAAGGGTGCGAAAGCTGCTAGTTTACAGATTATTGGGGTACTTACATCTGGAACTGAATGAATGTTCTGAGAGACGGTGGCACCAATAAACTGATAAAGGCAAACCTTTGATTCCAGGTAGACGATGGGTTTTCAGACTGTCACGGATAGGGTATTAGCACTACTGGGTAAGTTGTGTAAGTGTAAATGTTTTTCCCAGCAAAAATTCAAACTGAAGAGAACGATATCAACCCCCGAATAATAACTGTGATTTTTTAGGTTACTCAAACGGATTTTCACAAGTGCGCGTTAAGTTCGCGCGAGTGCTAACTTCTACTAACTTATTACTCGTATATACTCATTTTGCTTATGCACGTGGCACGTGTTACTGACAGTTGGTAGTAAATCCGTAAGAAATTATCAACAAGTTATATTATTAATCGCTTGAAGGGATCTTCATGATACGCCTATTAGATTTGCGCAAAGGCTAGTCTTCAACAAACTGATTACCTTGTTCTGCTTATGTGCGCCGTACGATATCGAGAAAATGTAAGCCACCTATAACGAAGCCTTTCATTTTGGCCAATATACTGAAAAAACAAGAAAGTACTACAAGGATAAATAAATACTAAAAGAAGAAATTCTGCAAAGCTCAGGTACAATAACCACGATCTGCCATATCGGTCAGGTTTAAAGCAATTTGTTACCGTAATTGATTGATGTTTTAGCCTTCTAGAGACTTGAAAGAATTACCGGATTGTATCCTTCATCATGTTGGTCGTTCCTAGCGAACAAATTGAGCCAACCAAGGGTTAGACCTCACCACTAGATATAGGCATCGAAAGGTTAGAAGATTTACGACGTACGCACTGGCCTAGCGTTACTGCACAATGTAACAGTGGTCTTATGCATTTTTCATACGAGCTGTAAGTAACTTAATAGGCGATATCGAAGCTGATCATTAGGATTACTATAAAAATCGATAACAGCGAACTCACAGCTGTAGCTAAGATAAAATTCTTCTTCTTTAAAATTATTTTTCTAAATATCTTATCATGGCTATTTATAGATGGCCATGATAAGGTATTTAGCCATCTCAGTCATAAAATCTATACACTAAATTAAGCACCGCTGCAACGGACGTTCCTATACGTGTATGAAAACAGTCTGCTTTGTTCGTGCGAAGTGCGTAAATTGCAGACTGAAGGGTCTGGCCTGGTTAAGCTTTTGCTTCCTGAGCCTGTAACATCTCAAAGAACCGTCAATACATTTGAAAAAAAATGAACAAAGAAAAAATATCTCGCAACATAATCACTAATGGTTTACCGCTTTTTTCTTCCATGCGTCCGATTTTAATACGCAATGAGGCTCGTATACAGGACAACCCACGTATCATTACGTGTACTTTTTTTCTACATTAAACGGCTGATTGTCAGAGATACGAGAAAGATATGAACGCGCTGCACTTTTTTATATTTTAGCACCAAAATGAATACAATGTATTATCTTATTAACGCCGATGACAAGAACTAAACTTTGATCTGCATAGCAGACATAATCGGTTTTATATTGTCCGGCAGGCAAAACAGCGACAAAGTTTACGAAAGACGCCGGCCATATAACATTGACTTTTATGTCGTTTTTATTCACGCTTCGTCCGACGCTCTCGGCGCCGTATCAAATAGGGTGTGTTACTCTTCTGACCGCTGGTCTCTCGGGGGTGAGCGCTATTGACTGCTTCAAGTGCGTGTCTCACAGCGGCGACAATCCAGCTTGCGAAGATCCTTTTCATCATAACTACACGTCGGAGATTCTGCATCAGCCTTGTTTAGCTGGTCGCAAGGGTCGAGAGGGCCTCTTCCCAGCTACGGCCTGCGTCAAGATCACCGGGACATATGGTAACATATGGTATCCCCACAAGATGGGAACTGATTAACTTTTGTTTCCTTTGTCACAGACGGAGAGGGAAAACATGGGCTCATCTGATCGCATCAGACTTCGAAAGGAGGAACAAGCCTCTAGGACGGTACCGTCACCTCCGGTACTGAAACCTGTTACTAACCTGCGGCTTTTAGGGATAACCGTGCAGCTGTAGAAAATGTATTAGCTGAACCAAAAGAATAGTATAACAGTTAAACTTGTACAAAAAAAATATGGCTTAAAAAGTTACTCATACAAATCGGCCAATAGATCAGTTATCGATTGTTTTACATGCAAACAGTTTACAAAATATAGATTGCTATAGTTAGTAAACAAAAAGAACCTAGATGTAGATGTATCTAAGTTCTTTGAGAAATAGTCACAATCACATATACGCTCTTCGCGATCAAAAGTTAAATTAGATCCCTCTGGAAACCAAAACAGTGTCTGTATTATCAGTATTTGTTCTACGGTGACTATGCATTAAAACACTATTACTACATTTTGCTAGTCACGCATGCATATATTTCGATGGATGGTCTACGATCTAATGTTCCTAGTCTAATTAAGAATTTCAGGTGGTATAGAGATTGCCACCTTTGTTGTACAATAAATGGTCTGGCCTGTATAACATGCTTATCCTCTCAATTGGGTCATTAGCGATGTCAAACCCAAACGGAATCAAGGATTTACCCGTGATGTGTCCGAAGCACTGCTTCGGATCAGGTGCGGATCATATGGAATAGTTAGTTGACACGCGGCGGGGCATATCCGAATAGACGTACCGTGATGATATGAGCTAATGCACCGCAATGCCCCATTGGGGAGCTTGTCTTTTATGGCAGTTTTCTCAATACAGCCACATATCGTTATAACAGTATCAAGCAGCGTACCATTAGTACAGACAATATGGTCTGCAGAATTTAAAGGCGCAAATATATTTTACGCATCAATCTTCTATGTCTATGACTAGCAATTCTGTCTCAATATATCAGTTTATGTAAACTTTTTAGTCGACCTTCTCTTGATTTGTTAGACCCTTTACCTCTAAGTTTAGCACAAAAATCGTTTTTAATTTTATTTTCATCAGAATTATAAGAAAACCTTTGCTCCTAATCAACTAGCAGTGACTCGGCGAAAGCATTAATTCACTTTCGAAACAAGATAAGACATATATACAAATTTTTGTTCTGCCGTAAACGATACAAATGATCTTGCTGGCATATTAGGGAAATTTTCGAGAGGTATTCTTTGTCGTCAGCAATTCTTGCCGTTGATCGAGGTTACAGAGACCCGTTTATGGATCGTTCAATCATTCCATGGGTAATTCTAACAGTGATTATATTAATACATTACAAAGCGATCCGCAATTTCAGAAGACACTGGCGAAACCATCGTTGTACGAACCTGTGCTCTGGATTCCGGTACACTCACCGTTGACACGGAATTGGTCCGCATGTCGCACTGTGGCAGCTTCTATTTTGATGATCGTTACGTACGTGGCTGCATTGTAAGTTGCGCCGGAGACGCTTGTAACGCAGCCCGAAGCAGATACTACCTGGCACTGTCATATCTTGTCGGCGCACCACAGTCGTACGCGGGTCTGACGCTGGTCACTTACGTCGTACTTTGTACGTCGCTTCACAGCTTCTTCGTGAGGGACCGTTGCCTATAATATGTCCCCACTTTGATCTTATTTCAAATCTGATCATGTATAATGTGTATTCATTTCTTTAGCGCCTTCTGTTTCGCTACACGTGTCATCTGTAAACAACCATTGAATATCATCACCATATTATAAACTCCTCATATATATATATATACATATACAAGGTTCTAACTGTGGACTGAACGTAGGCAATATTTCGATTCTGAGATAAGCTATGGTGCCATTTAGAATTTGCAAAAATAGTAAATAAACATTATCAATATTAAAGATTCACTGTAGAAGGGCTATATAAAGAATTTAGAAAAACGATACTATACTTTATTATAGAAGTGGTACATACAGTTTACAATTATAGTACTAGATACACGCAGACAATGTACTCCAATCAGCGCTATGCGTCATGTTGCAGAAGTAACTAAATTCATACGATATATTCCTAGGATAACACAGCTGAGGCCCTAGTCACACTACAGATTGACCCTAGAAAAGTGCTGATATCGACATTTCGGCAAGAGATATTTCGTTCCGAAAGAAGATGCTTGATAACTCCAAACTATATAATGAACATTTTGTCGTCACCCGTAGAGCCAAGGCGCAGGCTATCTTCAAACCTTGTTGATGTACCCATCTTCATGTGCTGCGTTAAAGGACTATAGTTGTTCTATCAAGCCGTAGACATATCTATGTTAAAGTATTTCATCCGAAGCTCAGATAAACTAATATCTCATTGTAGACAAGTAACAGGAAATTAAAACGAGAATGTCTCCTGATACTACTGCTTGTATGTATTATATGAACAAGTGCGTTTAGCTTAACACTGACGACATAAAATGTACAGCTCGGAGAAGGGGGACCAAGATAATGTAAGATTTCCCTTTTAACACGCCCATATCAATAACTCACCAACAACCAAATACTATATAGTATATTGTGTAAACAAGTGCCACTACATCTTCGGTACTCTTCGTAATAACCTGTGTATAGGTACTGTTAAGATTGTTTCGTCTGCTTTTGCATGCGGATTTCAGTCGACCAAATAGCAACACGTGCTTCCCATGCCACAATGGACATTGACTAAATAAGAACTATATAATAATGCACTATCTGCTGAGATTAAGAGTTAGGATAACCCGAGCTAGCTGTCTCTTTAACGAAGCTACCAGAAATGACGAAGGCATTTATTGGCCAATCGCAATGAAGTCGTTCTCCGACACAGACGCGTCGTATTGGGAATATATCAAATAGGGATGCGATCCTGTACGACAGTGACCGTTACTTCTTTTTATATTTCATTAACTCAGCTTGATCAACATGGGCAGTTCACTCAATTGCATAGTTGATATGGGGCATTGTAACAAGTCAGGAAAAAAAAAAAGAAAAACACTGAATTAATTACTGCGTCTTTGACTTATAGCCGCACTCGAATTGTTTACGTTAATTAGTAATTTTGAATTTCCTTTCCCGCCATCTCGAGCAGCCTATATATTATATACATCTAAGACAAGGTATTATATAGCCAGACTATCAAACTAAGCACATTCAATAATAAGAGTTTAACGTAATGACGCGTATTTTGTACAAGACAGCTATAAACGTTTTTTTTACAGATTTTCTTTAGGTAAGTAGTTGACCTTGTTATTTTAGACTAGAACATAAGGATTGCTCCTAGGACAGTTTATCTGCCTGTTGAGCTAACCGAAGTCCTAGTGGATTTAAGAAGAATGATTTTAATTATCCCGTAAAGGGTTAGGAATTTCTAAATTTCAGTGTAAGCAATAAGAGGTACCTGAGCAAATTCTTCAGTTCTATTGGCTCAGCGAAAAACTATACAACATTGTCGCAGTAGGATTGACCTCACTGTCTGTGATGGGATGTCTTGCAGTTGCGAGATTAGAACGCATCTTTTTATTATGCATTTCCTCGGTCGAAGTGAAAAAATGTTGTTGCGTTTTGCCAAGCGGTGCCCGCATGTGTACTATAACAACCGGGACAATAAACACCTATAAAAAATTCAAGTGTATATGTATATATCAGAGCATTGTTGCTGAGAGTGTGGTTGCTTAAGGTCGCTAGATATTCATATTTACACAAAAACTAAAATTGACTCCTAATTCACAATAAAATTATACCATAAAATCATTAGTTAATCTATAATAGTAATAAAAATCATACTGAAAGTATTTTATTTTATTAAAACATTTTCCTTACAGTGTACTGCCGCTAATGTTTGTATATATACAGTTAAACATAAGTAAATAATTGTCGTCCAGTAATATCATAGAATCCTGCTATTTCAATTCTGCCCCTAATATAGGTATTTAAAAAAAGCATGCCGCAGTCAGGCACAATGTGCTAATAAGGTTCTTATTTATTTATTCTATGGTTATCGATGAGCATGGAATTTAGGAGCGGCGCAATACTTTGTTTATTAAATTGAATCTCTAAGAAATTCTGCAAACCTTCTCAGGGTTTTTTTTTTGTTTATCTTCTTTGAGTTGCATTTTCTGCCTGGATGCTCTTAAGCGTCCTTGATTTTTCTTTTCAGGTTGTTTTTTAGTCAAGTCAAATGCCTGTTACAGTTCAAGGATATATGTATAGTTTAATAAATTAGTTGTTATGAACCATTTCGGTTGTAACAAACTGTTGATTGTCGAATTATGCTTATTTTATAATAGAACATTGTTGATAAGACGAGCAACGACACTTGAAAGGCAATTTCTTTTGCGATCATGTGTAATTCCTGGTTTATTAGAAAAACGCAAAGTAAATAGTGACGTTTTTTGTTCTTCTATACGCTATATACCCGAAGGCTGCGATATTTCCTAATTTAACACTGTTTTTAAACGCACGAAATAGGGTGAATTATGACACGCCGACGAGTGATTCGATTATGAAGTGCCAGGGTTTGTGTGAAAGTGACATTGCAGACGTCCAACGCTGTTTACGCGGGCAGGAGAATCTTTTTCGTTTGCTTAGTGTCCGTTCACGTATTAGCCTAATTAATAAAAAAGGAAAAAAAAAAGTAAATCTAGTAAAAGGCAGAGAGAAGGCGACCTTAAGTTCAGCAAACTGATTGAAAAGTTCTTAGTTGAAAATAGGGTTAACTAAAATCGGTGATCAGAAATACCCTTGCAAACTTAACACTCGGCGCTTCTATTTGGTACCACCTGAAGGTCGATCAGGCCAGTGATAACCTCATTTTTTGATACGATCAAATATTTTCACTAAATTCGGCCATAAGTCAGCTGTTTAATTGTCCTGCCTCGTTATCGTTAACCGTACCGTGTGCTTGATATTGATGATTTTATTGATTTATCAACCATGCGCAACATGCTAAATTACCTAATTTCACGGAACTTTTGTGTAGCTCAGAAACGCTCTACAAAAGCATATTTATCATGTTTCTCTTACTAGAAGCAGTTTGAATTGGACGGAACGAACAATCACAACGGTTAAATACCGCCTATCCTGGGGTGACTGAATGCAGAATTGACGTTCGTATTGAAGTAAGCTCGCAAAGCACCGTCGAAACGAGTCTCTATTGCTAGCGCTCAACGTATGCTACGACGTACGGCACCTTTTCGTAAGAGTTTTGCTACGATTGACAACTGTTAATTTAACTAAAGTGCAATTCTATACTAACAAACGAAATAGGTAACTGCTGTTCTTGGGTTTGAAAAGCTTTGCAGATCTTCGTCTTCACCATCAGGAGTTTTTTTAAGATAGATAAAAATCATTTTTATTGTGTTAGAAGTCAGTAAATATCAACGCAATGATTCTCGCTTAAGCAGTGTATATAACCATTTTTATCTCAACTTCTGTACAATAACACTCTGTTTGCCCTATGATTGACAAAGTGTACCATAATGTATTATTTGACAAACTTATACGACTGAAGGAATAGATTTTATTTAAATTTCCAGACGAACCACTAGCTTTTTGAAACACCGTTTTATTGGGGTAATAATTAACCATAAATCCAGCATGTAAACAGCATGTCCATCCGGAATCCCTCAACGCACTAATGTAGGACGCCGCTTGTTTTCTACATTATTTTCGATTTTAAAAATAGTATTCTTGCTAGCATCGCACATAAATTATGCGCAGGTGAGCTCGGACTTTGCGAACCCTCCACGAAGTAACTGATTGCATTCGCTACGATAAGAACATTTTCATACTGAACTCCTTAAAATAGAGCATGTTGAAACATCCAATAGAAACGAGTTGAGCGGATTTTGAAAATTACTATGCCATTTAACACGCTACGTTAGAGCCCCTTAAAGATCTCAACAAAAAAGACGTATTGCGTATTGTTACAGATTTCGAGGTGGACTGTAAATAAAAAAATGCTGAACCAGTAAAGCAGTTAAAGAATGAACTATTGATTTACAGAGTTCCTATAGATCCTTCATATGAATTAACTGCGGCCGTCTGCAGCTCTGCTTTGTTTTCTAATACCTCTTATCCATCTCAAAAGGGATTCAGTAGCACTTTGACAGATTTTTGAAACAACGGACAACGACTTTGAGAACACGAATTTTAAAAGCGGGGCCTTCATTATATTTGTGATAATTTGAAGCAGGTAAAACCTGAGAAATTTAAACAATTAAGGTACTCATCAAATATTTACTATAAGGTAGTGCTTTCAAAAGCAAAAGGCATAAACGACATATTTTTCATACAAGAAAAATCCAAAAAAAACAGAGCTATTCACTTTACAAAACTCAAATCAACTGCAAATGTATCTTGCATATTCAATTTTGTGATGCAATATCGCGTTATGAGACAGCTTGGAACAACTCGAAACCGCATAGCCTGTTTATTAAAAGAACAATTTAGTAGCCTACATACGTTATTTGTTTTCCTATAAGCAGCTCTAGCGATCTCGACTAGCTAGCACTACAGTCTTGTTATTCTCAAGAAAAGGCTATATTACGCATCTTTTCACAAAAAGAACACGGATGTCTGTATGCAATAAGAGCGAAAACGAGGCTCGAACTGAAAAAAAAGATAACAACACTTATAAAATTCAATTTCTTCCAAGAGATTACAAGTTCTTCATAACGAAAGGACACTGTGGAGACTGAAGATCGAAGATAGGAAACGGTAAGTGGACGTTTTTCCGCTTCAGTCTTTCTCGGCCTATCTCTTCCTGAACCGGAACCAGAAATTTGGATATCCACATCAGAGTATATTAAAAAGCGTTTTATTTTGAAGTTACTCACTAGTCTCACCTACAGCAGGTGACAAAACTGTCAGCCATCTCTTGAGATGCTTTGTGACGTGGCCCGCGACGATCGATTTCAAATCAAACCTCTTCGCTAACCACCAAATGATGTACGGGATGCTGATTCTTAGAAAAGCTGCCGGATCTCGGTAGAATGACACAATTACATCTGTCAATTGCACAGTCACATCAGTTGTTATGACCTTAGAATTAGCCTCCAATATACGAAACGGAACCGGTACACACATAATAATAAACATTTCGAGCAGACATTTTCCTCTAGCGCTAGCTATATCGGGGTGACATGCAATGCTATATGGAAAAAGAAATTTGTACGTCTGGTTCAAACAAATGACTCCACCGCACGAAACATAGAAACATTAAACACGACACACGGTAGTGAATGGCTTGATTTAGGTCTGATTTTGGGTCAGGGAGAACCTTAGTGGTGTCGAAACGCCAATTTTCTGTTGCTACGACTAGTGAAGCTACACAGCCAAAGCAAATCAAATTTAAAACGATCAAAACATGGAAAAAAAGGGGACATAAAAAAAATCAGATCAGATGTTTACCACCTCATCTATTCGCAACTTCATGACGCAAGAGCAGAGAAAAGACTGTCTAATATTTATCACTGAAGCTCTGCAAGAGTTGAGCCTACCATAAGCGTGTATTTGTAATTCAAATGAAATTAGGTAGATGTCGAGGTTAACTGTTATGTGCCAAAAAAAAGACCAATAATCCAGCACTGATCATGGAGCACGTATCGAGGTAGGGACGGGTAGTGACCTAAAGCCCATTGCAGATTAATGCACACTACTATCACGGCATTACCGTTTGCAAAATGGTCTAATCTGAATCAACTTGAACAGTTAGCGGTATCCATCCAAATTATTGTCGTAAAATAATAAAAATGATAGTATAGCTGTTAGCGCCTTCGTGAATCGCATATCAGGAAAAAACTCGACGTAGTTTTGGCGATCACGGACTCAGTTTCGCCCTGTCAGCACCTCACTACACGCATATGTGGCCAGGCTACTATCATCCAATGCCAATCTTCAATGTGAATTTAAGCGTTTCATGTAGACGTGAGTGACGCGTACCGCATGTGCCCCGCTGCGCAAGCTACGGAGTAGGCAAATCCAGCG